CCGCTGCCTCAAAGCCCCGCCTCCCGCCCTCCTCGACGATGCATGCCCCGCCCTATGTCGTGCCCCACGGCGTTGAGAACGCCGCAGGCCCCTGCCCTCAGCACCGCACGCCCTGGTGCTAACGCCCCGCTTTCCGGCCTCCTCGACGCCCCACCCTCCATGCCGCGCACCGCTGCGCTCAATGCCGCACCCGTCCGCCCGCCCTCAACACCGCACGCCGAGACCTCCACCATGCGCGCTCCGCCCTCCACGCCACACGCCCCGGCACTCAACGCCCAGCCCCCGGCCTCATCAACGCTGCGGGCTCCGCCCTCCATGCTGCGCCGAGGTAGGGTCTACCACGGTATGCATGGACCCGGGTGAACTGCAGGTATGTACCTGCGGTTTCGGCACGGGTCGGGTACACCAGGTTCGGGTAGACCTGTAGTACGGGTAGCGGGTAAGTACAATCTTGTAGCTTGAATTTACAGCCGTACCGTGACATAGAAGTGACTGAATGACTGATATGTTGTGCGTGTCTTTTTGCTCTTGCCAGCGTATCCCACTCGGGCCCGATTAGAACTCGACCGCCCCTGAGACTTAGGGACAGTCGAGTTCCAATCCTCAGGCCTTGACACTTAGATATCACCCCATCCAACGCATCGGGCTTATGTATATCTTGTGCCTCGATACATCTTGGTTCATGTCCCTTAGGTGATAGCATTGACTTATGCTGTATGTACACTGATAACTGCAGTATATGCATTGAAATAGCCGGTTCCCGGGGTCCCAGCCAGTGCACAGCCCTCGCTTAGCCAAATGAACTCGGCAAATGAGCTGCTCACTCTTGCTTTCCATACGATCTCCACGTTTATAACTCTGCCAGGCAATCCGTCGCTTGCTTGTCATATGTTCGTGTGCACGCATGGCTGACGCGTGTAGATTTCGCTGCTTTGGCTCGTGATGATACCGTGGACCGCGTCGCAAGCTGGTTAAGGCTTTCGAGAACGGCAATCTTGCATCCAGCTGCTCGATGACCTTGCGACATTATATGCATCATATGCGGCCTAGTTGGGCGCGCTTTAAGGGTATCGAGGATGATTGTGCACCGGGGTCACGGTGACGATACGTTGCATCGGCGTATATCGAGGCTATATACTTGAGGGCTGTAGTAACGCTCGCTCTATCGGCAGAGGACAACCTATCTCATGAGTGCGTGCGACTGCGGGACCAGCGCTTATGGCGTGGGATTTTCGGCCAGCACTGTTCTCCCGGCCCGAGGGGTCGGGTCCTGCCGTCACTCCCTCCGAGTGAAACTGTACGAGTCTGAGCGGTATACGGCAACACGACGAAACTCTGCCTCAACATTATGCAAGCACGTCCGGAGCCTCGTCGGACGTTGTTCTCTTCAGTGCAATGCACCCCTGCGTTCCTGAAGAAGACCTCAGATTCGCATCCGTTTACACAACAGGTTCGCATCACACACAGCCGGACATCACTGAATACAGAGCCAAGTTTCGACGCCCGAGCATAAGGGATGCTCACCATGGAGTGATGAACATCCCTTGGACCTCTGACGCCGCCTTGAGCGTGATGGCACGCATCCATTTTCCCCGGCAACGCTCATTCGTGTTCTTTTGTTTTGCGCGACAGATCGACGTCATCATACCGACCTCCGGATCTGACTCTGACGCCCTGCGCGCGTTGCAAAAGCTAGAGAGTGCGTACGCCAAAACCAGCATGGAACTCTCGGATCTGCTGGAAAACCTTGTCGCACCCTACCGACGGTCGTATTACGCCCGACAGTAAGAGTTCAGCTCGCTCACCGTTGGCAATTAATGACGGATATATAGAGGGCTGATCGCGTTGAGCCAAAACTCTGACGCTGACGGATACGGTGCCTGGTGTCTCGATCCCCGTGGTATGCTCACCTTGGCTCTGAGCAAAGAGACTTACGGGCAATCGAGACTCGCTGGACGGAAACTGTGCATCCATCGACGCTCCGACATGCACTGTACGTCTTTCTGTATAATGCCGGCTAGGATCGTATATTTACATAGCTTGAGCCCAGTGGTCAACATGTATGCTGATGATCGAGAACCGAAGACGTATCAGAAACAGCTGAACGCATTGCGGGCGTGGGAGGCCCGAAGAGCGGAAGAAGGCTATCAGTGGGAGATGCTTTACTATTGCCCAGGTACAAATGCTCATATTGGAGCATGATCGACCTATTTTTCATGGGGAACGCGCTTCACAGATATCAAAGAAGTCTCGGCGCGCAATGCTCACCGTTTGCAAAAAGCGAAGCCCGAAATCAGCATGTTCAACAACGTTCACGTCCCCATCATCACCAGCGACGCGGTCATCCGTCCATCTCGCGAAGGTGATCATGATGCCGTGGAAGACTGGGAGGAGCACATGGCTTCGCTTTTTGAGTGGTCCGGCATGGCGGCACTCGGTGCACAGAGGTATGATCCACGCGCTTTCGTTGTTCGCGTAGGGAATAGGACTCAGTAATGAACGTTACCCAGGCTCCAAGTTGTGGATTGTGTCGACCCCTACGTTGCCGTGTACGAGCCTCCCGCGCCCAGCAGGGCAGGTGAAATAATGCATCTACGATGGCGAGGATTTTTCCCACCGGACTTCGTCTGGTCGGTGTTGGAGCACGCGGTGTACGTCCGCATCTTTTGATGTGCAAGACCACATCACGTCCGTACTGACTTCGTAAATTGAAGGAACATTGTGTCAGCAGCAGGGCAGCACAGTTCCGAGAGTAGTTTTGTGTCGATCACCGCCCACGGCTTCTCGCAAAGTCCAATCACTTACATACCTCAGGATACGTGCAGCTGGGATGCAAGGGGATATCGATATCCACGTAAGGAGGCGGAGGATACGTGGTCGTTATTGATTGCTCCCCGCACCGATGGCGCGAACGGCGGGGTGCAGACTTATGCGACACTGGTCGAGAGCATTGGGGAGTGGGATACCCGATGGGGTTGAAATGGTACTGGGAGACTCTGCCAAGGGTTCCAAGCGGATACGAATCTTCCGGTAACTTACCCTTCAAGTCAATACTTCACACTGTGCGCGGCGCTTTGGGTCCTGGTGGCCCTCCTCCGCCCGAAAAGGAAACTCGGCAGCCGATCAAACTCCGCTTTGCGGTTTTGCTCAACAGCCACATATAGGTACCTTGTTTCGCATCATACCCTCTCCCTCAATCAAAAGCTCATTAGCACCCTCTCCCTTCTCTCTGTGTTTTATTATCTTTATTATCCACAAAAATGGGCCGCCCGCTCTTCTCCAAGGCTCTCTACGACTACAAGCCTGTCACCCAGCCCGTCGTGCGAACGGTCGCCGAATCGCAGCCCGCGCACCCAGTTTACGACCGCTGGGCTCCCGATCGCTTCGACCCGGACTCGGATGAGTGGTTCGAGGGATCAAACGCCGTCTACGAGGCGTTCTTGGACCCACATGAATTGGAGGCGCTGCGGGGCGAGGGTGCGAGACGGATATCGGACAGCCTGATGAGCGAGCTCCAGGTTGATGGGAGCTCGTCCGGCAGCGATAGTGGGAGGACCAGCCCGACGGGCGTTGACGCGGAGGAACCAGGTCCAGCGCCCATGGAAGTGGACGGACCGCCCGCTGCAGATCGGCCAGTCGCTGCGGACGGGGGATCTGATCGTTCCAGCGTGCGCGGCGAGCGAGCGGCCACGGTCTCAGAGTAAGCAGAGAAACTTCATCGCTTTGAACATTGCGCTAAGATGTTGAAACTGTTAGGATGGTGACCACGCCTCAACCGACGCCGCCGGTCGCTACGCCCGTCTCCACTCCTCCTACCGTTTCGGCCATGCCACGGGTCGCCCCCATTCCTATCCCGGTCCCCCGGTCGCCGGTCATGTCGAGGGCTCAGATCGTACCCTCGACTCCGCCTCAGAACTCTCTGCCGCAGGTGACACCGTCCGCCACGCCCCGGATCTACACCTGGCGCCGCCCCTCCATCACCGCCATGCCCGTCTCGCCATCCGGCGGGCCGCTGACGAACCCCAGCGCCCGCCGCTCGCTGGCGCACATCACGTCCGTCGCCGCGCGCGTCCCCGACCTGCGGGCTTAGACCGGCTCGCAGCACGTATACACGGTCTCTATCAGCCTAAAACGAGCTGAACGTGCAGACTCCCTTGCGTGGGCGCTGGACGTTCGTCGCTCACATATTTGTTCCTCGGCTTCCGGCTTTTCTAAAGGTCGCTTTCACTGGCAGGGCTTCGGTATGCTGTCTTATACAGATTGTATAGGTCTTTTCCGCTCGATATACCAAGGAACTACAACACACTCCCTTCGCATCCCTCTCATCGTCGCCCGTCTTTGGCTACCCTAATTCACTAGCGCATCTGTAACATTTCATGCATACTACTCTTTGCTCGATCTGCTCTACTGTACTTCGTAGTACTTGGGCGCCTGGAATATATGCGAAGGTGTTGGTTACGCGTTGAAGTCGTTGGTGATAAGCAGTTGTAGTATGCGCATGCGGGAGGCAAATGACGCCACCGCGCAATGCATGCGGGACCGTTGCTCGCACACTACAACGATATGCATATGTACGCGGCTTACTTCTGGACCAACGGATTGATCTTTCCAACTCCTTCGTGGTATGGAAGATCCGACTGAAGAGAGTCCACTGATTGACTCGAGCTCGCTACGACGCGATGAGAGTCCCAAACACGCGCGCCAAAGGCACCTGGGTATGGACCTTCCGTCCTATAATGCACTGCGCGCCCAATCTTACTTACAGATGCTAATACAGGCGTCGCAAGCGTAGGATTCCTGATATTCAACCGAATCATCGGCACGGGGTGAATGATGGACGATCGAATGCGTGGTGTCCACGTCTGACATCTCGGTGCAGAATCTTTGCCGCGCCGAGCATCATCTTGCGATGCGCTGGAAGCATAGGTAATATATAGTTCAGCCGTATCGGCCTTTCGGATCACTGACCGGACGGATGCAGGTGCAACGTTCACCATGTGGGTGATTGGAACGCTCGTTGCCGCAGCTGGGACATCCGTATACATTGGTATGTCCTTGTGTACTATCCACACGCGGAGTGTAGTCTCCAACTTGCCAAAGAGCTAGGAACAGTACTGCTAAACCCGAATCAACGCATCTCTCCACATATTGAAACTCTGTATTCGTCCAGGCTCTTCCCAGAAACGGCGGAGAGAAGAACTACCTGGAGTTTATCTACAACAAACCTCGGTTTATGATCACCTGCGCATATGCGTCCTATGCGATTTTTACGGTGAGTGCATCATTCCCAAGGACATCTTGAGGTGAGACTCACAGGTTCTAGGGCTGGGCTTCCGCGAACAGCCTCGTGTTCGGAGAATGTGAGCCTTCCCAGCTTCATCGTCACCGCCAGGATATTGAACTTTAATACTCGTTAGACTTGGTCAATGCGTTATCTATAACTGCTACGAGGACTACCATCGGAGCAGCAGCCCTTCTCTGCATGACGTTTTGCCTAGTAATGCACGGCTGCTTTCTCCACCAAGGACTACGCATACAGAACACCCTCGGTGCTGCCAAGATCGTGATCCTCATCGTGATACCGATCTCAGCTCTACTCAACGTCGTTGGGATACCATTCTTCCAGCTTCGGGACGGCGTCAACGTCCCACACAACTTCGATGTGGACAAAATATGGGAAGGAAGCTTCAAGACAGGCGTAAGCGGCTTCGTCACTGGGATGTTCAACGTTATCTGGTTGGTCCAGTTACCACTCGCCATTCAAATATATTTCATCCAGTTCTTTCAGGTCATATAATGGCTATCAGAACGCGAATTATGCCCTGGCCGAAGTCCACAATCCAGTGCGCACGATTCGACGTGCTGCTCCGCTGGCTGTTGCCGGTGTCTCGGTCTTCTATTTTCTCATCAATATCGCGTACTTCATAGCCATAGCCAAGGAGGACATCCTCGAAAGCCGCCGAATCGTAGCGTAAGTCGGTCCGGTGGTTGCCCAACGTTTATCTGTTTACCCTGGATGTCCCGTTAGTGCGCTTTTCTTCCGCAACATATTTGGACCGTCAACAGAGAAGGTTAGTGGATACGTTCTTCCTCAACATGTCGGATGTTGATGAGGATCGTATAGATATTGAGTGGAGCAATCGCCCTATCAACCCTGGGAAACGTTATGTCAATCGTATTTGCGCATGGGCGAGGTATGCCATAATGCTATAGTACTATGTCACAATGCATGAATAACAACACAACTTCCAGTCATACAGGAATTGGGCCGTGAAGGCATATTGCCGGCCTCACGTTGGTTTGGATCCAGCAAACCGTTCGATTCTCCTCTCCGGGGTATTCTCGTCGTGTGGCTCGTCTCGTCCGTGTTGATGCTATCAGCGCCATCCGGGGACGCGTACTTGCTGATGGTAAACCGTAAGTTATTTCAGACCTGATATGCCGCTACAGCCATTGACTGTGAGGATAATCCACAGTATCGTATTACCCGATCATTCTGTTCAACGTGCTGCTGCCAGCAGGCATTATCTACATGCATATATCGCCAAGTATCGAATGGAATCCGCCGTACAGAAGCTATACAGCCGTCGCCGTGTTTTTCTTCATATCGAACGTCTTCCTTCTCCTCGCACCGTTTGTGCCACCCCCTCCTGGATTCCAGGTCTACGAGAACTTTCCGTACTGGGTGAGTGCCGGCCACGAGCTGCTCGTCGTCATAGAGGCAGATCTGACCAGCTTCTGCGGTTTAGCTGCATGTGGTCGGAGCGCTCATCATTGGGCTGCTGGGAGTGTCGTATTTCACCGGACGGTACGTCATATGACTCTAGCATATGACGAATAGAACCTGACGCTATTGAAGTTGGGTTATACTGCCAAAGATCGGCAAATACGAGCTGAGGAGAGTTACGATCGTTGAGCATGGTATTCCTGTCGCGGCTTTTCGGAAGCAACGCATAGAGTAAATAAATTGTTACATGGCTTATGAGTCTTCACTTCACTCGTGAAGGATGGCCAATGTGTGGCCTTGTACATAGATGTTGTCCCGTAGGAGAAGCGTGAACCTTCGGTTGAGTCGTCCGTGGGCAGTAAGTTCTAACTCCGACCCATGCGGCATGATGCATCTAGGACGTCCATGAGAACCTGCACGGTCGAGACCTGAAACGAATGTGCAAGAGCTCTAGGGAACGTTTCTGCGATACTTTCGTGGATTTTATCTTGCTTGGAGGGCTCCTGAAACGATATGGAATGAACTGGAAGACGCGTACATGCACGTTTGACACGGACTCGCAAAATTAACCTCGTATGGCGCTATCCTCCGGTCACTATCGACCGTCGGGTCGGACCTGACCGCCTTTGTGCTAGCCGAAAACCATACACGGCCGGTGCAGATCTCAGGCGTGCATGCCGACATTCAAAGCAGCTCCGCAGGAAACGCTGGAAGCTACCAGCAATTGTCCGCGCAGGCCCTTCTGGGTTTCTAGTTGGCCGCGTTTCTCCTCATACCAGCCCGTGTTTACCCTGGCGTAGTGGCATTCTGGCTCAATGGGTCAATGCAACTCTTCAATCACACGTCCCAAGCACCCCGCTTCCCTCGTGACTACGGCGAACTCAGCCTTATTATCCACCTTATGCGCACCATCGACATTTCCAACTCCCGCGTGAAGTCAAAGCGAGTTCATGACGATTTCCGGACGTAAAACCCTGTCCGAATGGCACGGCAGGAATCGGCGGCGATTATTCAGTTGCCTTCCATACCTACGACTCTCCGTTCACGTCGGTCAAGCCTCGCCCTGGATCCTGTGGCGACGAAAGTATATAAGACCGGGCATGAGAGGCCGATAGAACAGAACTCACCTCACTGATCTCAACACAATGGCCAACAACCAAGTGCGATCGTTGTTATGTCTTGAGCTATAGTGGCTCACTGTTGCATTTCAGCTCGTTCAGATCACCGTGCTCAACAACTCCAGCTACGCTCTAGGTCTCAATGACCCGAGCACCGTGACGGTGCAGGGCAAGCTCGTCAGCGAACCCGAGGCGGTATGCACTTGCTTCATGCTTTCGGCGTATCTGTGGGCGATCCTGATATACCCTTCCATATAGATCCCTCTTGGCCATAGGGGCACTGGAGGTGTCTGGCAGGCTGAGATTCAGCACATCCACTGGCCCAAGCTCGCTGGGATCGGTCCTGTCCAGCTTCCGGGCGTCCAGGCCCTGTCGCTCTATCGCTTTGAAGAGGCGCCGGACTACGTGCTCGTGATCCTCGTGTCCAAGTCGCTCAGCCAGGTCGCTAAAGCAAGTCATCGGTGACCTCGTTAGCGTCTTTCGCAGCAGCTCACGAGTGTTGCAGGTCGCCTTCGTGCGCCGTGACCAAGTCAAGTTCGACGAGCAGTACCTCCGTACCCTCGAGAACGCGTCCAGCGTTACCGACGACGCCAGTCTTCTTTTCCACCTTTCTGGACATCCGTTCGTCGTGGAGGTGAGCTCCTGCCAACGCCGGACATGTGTGTATCTGATGATATACTGCCATGCTTGCAGGCCACGGTCCAATTCCTTCTGCAAAACAATGACCACGGTCTCAACCACACAACTCTGCAAGTCACTTTCAGTAACAGGATCGCGTGAGCAAATCGCGGGCGTCGACAACGTACGACTCCATTCCATCTTGTAATATAAACGATGTCGAAGTGCGAGAATGCTGTAGGTTCTATCGACGATGTGATCGTTTACTCCGATGATGTACAAATAAATACGTATGCAAACCAACTAACGACTGAATGCCACGACACCTCCTATAAGTGCCCCTACGAGACATAAGGACGTCCAAGCTTTCAGTTGCTTCTTCCACGTGGGCGTGACCGCTTTCTGCTGATCAGGGTATGCAGACTCCTTGAGCATCGATGATGTTTCGTCCTCCTGCGGGATAGCATCACTTGCTACGACTGTCTCATCTGTGCCATTGTTGAGAGCATCCGATGTGGACAGAAGATGCATGGGAAGAGCCATCTCCTCGCTGAAAGCGTCGATCACCTCCACGCGACTCACGGCACCGAAGAAGTCAGTGATTAATGTCTTATCCAGTGGCCGACGGAAGAGATCCGCGCGATACCCCGCGTGCGAGTGTATCTTGTCAAAAGAATACGTCTTGAACTGTATATTGCACGTCAGATAGGTACGTTTCGTACGGCAGCCAGGGGCGTACAAGATCGGCCATGGTAGCATCACTTGTCTTGTTGATGCCTTCCATGAATTCAAGCACCCAATGAGTGAAGCTATCGATGACGGCGACGCCAATGTCGTTGTCGTTCTCGTACTACGCCGCATGAGCCAGATGCGAAGAGGATCAAATCAAGAGGTGACACACTGAGTACGAATTCTCGCCTCCTTCCGCACTCCCAGTGGCCAGGACGTTAGGCGAATATATCTTGCTGTACATCGTGTTGGCCTGGCAAGTGTCAATCATGAACAAGAGCTCATTGTATCTGCAAGTTGACGAGCAGGGGTAGTTAGCTCATCAGACGTTGCGATGCGCATCGGTCAATCAAGCTTACCGGCCCTTCTGCCACATCTGCTCGATAGCATCGGCGATATCGAATGCCGAGATTTCCTCGTTGTCCTGGAACTTCAGGAACTCATTGCCGCCTTAGTCACGGAGTGATCAACATTGCGGACCCGGGTCTGGCTGCGATAAGAAACTGACCATGCCCGGTCATGTAGACAAAGACATTACTCCGGTCGTCACTGAGCAAGCGCTTTGACCGTGGCACAAATGACGGCACTCGTCCTAACGATAACGAATACCAGGTCATGATCAATGTCACCTCTTGCATATCAGATGGTCAACGAATTCTCACCTGTCAGAACACGCAGGAAATTCTCCACAGTGACTTCGTATCCCCGGTAGTCGACTTCGATGTTATCTCCGTAGAGGTCGAGGGATTTGGAAGCCGAGTGATAAACGGTACTGTTGCGAAGAAATGTTAACGCCTCGTGACGAAGCCGAAGCAAGATAATCACTCACCCCGGGTACTTGTTCCGAGCGTTACACGCCGCATCGTCCGCCAGCATGAGAATGATGTTCGAGTCTGGTATCCCGAGCCGCTTTACGGTGCGATACCTGAGTCACGGTTAGATCTGTGTCAACCACAATCATGGAGCGTACGCACATCCCCAGAGCGTTCGCCATATGCTAATGCGGATGATTATTCAGCATGGTGTCGTATAGACAACGGCGAGAGCGACAGCAAAGCTCTCAGTCATACAAGACACTCACGCGGTAGTTGAACCAGTATCTCGACGAGCATACTAAGACCGCCCAGTTGTTCGTGTGCTTCGAGCTCCCGGTCCCTTCTTGAGAATGCTTAGTAAAGAACTGTTGTGCCGCTTCATGGGGGTTATGTTGAGCGTCGGCGGTCAACAGGCATAGCAGAAGGCCAAGTAATGCAAGTGGGAGGGCCCTCAGTTTCATTCTTGAAACGCCAGGTCGCGACGGAAGGAGAGGGCAAGGTATCGTATATTAGTCACGTGGAGTCCCGATAGGGTAATCGGAGTCGGAGCCGACGAGCGTTGTCAATGTTTGGCAACAGCCTCGGAAACAAACAACCGATTGAGTAGGGTCAGACCGTCGAATATATGATTGATGATACATTGGATGCGTATAGTTTACATATTAGCGTATAGTCTTGTCGTTGTTTCAGTCACAGCTTCTGAATCCGGGCAGGATCGCGTCCCTGCAGTTCCTCTCCAAATACTTCCGCGAATGCGTTGCCTATTTCGCCAAGCATGTCCTATGCCCAGCCATGCGTCAATCATCCATCGGTTGTGAGTAAGTACTGCATCGTACCTGAGTGACTACGCTCCGACCTTCCCTCAGGAACGCGCGCTTGCTGGCGGTGCGGGTGACCGTACACCCTCCTGCGGCTGCCAATATCGGGATACGTGATGGTGGGATGGATTTGTCGCTGCAGGACCACGTGGAAGTCAGAGACAATGACAAGCATTGACGACCGATACCTACCCGTAAGCGCCATCCTCATAGCATTTACCCCAGGCCAGGAAGCATCCGATCGTACCGCTGAGAATGTCGCCTTGTCCGCCACAACGCTTCAAACCTCCCTCAACGTCGATTTGAACGATCTCGTCGACCTGGAATTATGATATTAGATCGTTGCAAGACGAAGGGTAAATAATATCTCCACTCACAGCCTCTCCTTCCTCTACCTTGCTGAGTGCAGCGTTCGCTTCGGACCCTGTCGTGTTGGCAGCCAAGATGTCCTTCGGACCTGGATTATCCCAATCAATGAGAAAAGAGGTAATGGGGTGGAATGTGTACCTTTCTGGACGATCAAGACACCTCCGAGCGCCTTCGACACCAACGAAGCGCGTTTCTCTGGAGGCGTCGACGGATCAATCTTGACGGCTTCACTCAGGCGCTTGAATTCCATGACGTTCGGAGTGAGAACCGCTCTCCGGTAGCCCTTGATGATATCCAAGTTGCGGTCGATCAAGTACAGGCCATCGGCGTCCAGGACGGTGTACAGGGCTTGAGCTGAGTGAACAACAGATGAGACGTGTAAGAATACGTAGTACGCAGTTCACGCACATTTTGCGACCTCCAACGCGACCTTCGCGAACTTCTGCATATAATCTTCGCGTCCCAGACCAGGACCGAGCACGAGAACGTGCAGACGCGACAGGATGGACTCCAGCTGCGACCTGACGGTGTCGACGGATGACTCTTCTTTCAGGATCGGGTGTACGATGAGGTCCGGCGAATATGATTTGATAGCGCCTCCAGCCGTCGGAGAGCATATGACATGGGCCAGCTCAGCGCCCTGTGAGTAAGGTTGCTGAGCGTGCCTCATCTCGACGAAAGAAGGTAGGACGTACTAAGCGTTGACTGCTGATACTAGCGAAGTAGGGTGCGCCCGTGTAGTCAAGTGCACCACCAAGTACGCCGACGCGTCCGCTCTGTCCCTTGTGCAACATACCGTTCAAGGGCGGGATGAGCGAGCGCAGCTGCGCCATCATTTTGGGGGCGACAGGCATATTGTCAAGCAGGAGAGCGTGTAGCGGGAGGGCGTTGGACGATGTTGTAGCTCAAAAGATCGTAGACGCATATTGCAGTTTCTCACTGCGCTTCAGTGATGACGCAGACGATGGGACTGGAGACTTGAGGGTATGAAGCGTCATACCCCGGTAAACGCCGGTACTCTGGAGAAGGTAAATCCAAGGATGCGAGGATCAATGCCGTATACCTTCCTTTCAGCTACTGGTAAGTCACAAACAAGCACACATATTATTCAAGTATTATTGATGAGGGCATGGCAGAAGCACATGAATTACTACGTCGTCAAACATTTCAAGGATCTCCGCGTAGCAGTTACTCGATCGTGAAGGCGTTGCTGAAAGTGACTTGCACGGTGGAGTGCTCGAGAGTCTTGGTGGTCGGAAGGAACTGGACCTTTGCCTGGGAGGGTGCAAGATGGTTTCAGATCCCAACTGAACAACCAAGACGGAGAGAAGACTACTGACCTCGACCGCGAAGGGGTGTCCATGAATGTGGAAGAGGTAAGTGGTGTCGCTGTGGACGCTCGCGGCGCTCTCGAGGGTCTCCAGGTACTGCTTGTCGAACTTGACCTCGTCGGCACGGACAAAGGCGACCTGGACGATCAGAAGGGCGATTAGTTTGGTCTCAAGACTGTATAAACACCATTTACCTTGGCAGTCTGCGTGAAGGTCTCTTCCACGAGGATCACCAACACGACTCCAGGAGCTTCCTTGAACTGGTACAGCGAGAGCGCCTGGACACCCGGGAACTCAACGGGGCCAACGCCAGAATGAGGGGGAAGGTGGAAGGGGATGACCTCCGCCTGCCAGATACCGCCCGAGCGCCTATGACCGGGCTTGACCTGGGGAGCGATTGGTTCAGTGTCGGAGACCTACCGTATGGCGTGGCAAGCACGTACCTCGTCGGGCTTGCTCACGAGCTTGCCCTGCACTGTGACGGTGCTGGGCTCATGCGGCTGCAGGATGTAACTCGAGTTGTTGAGAACGGAGACTTGCAAGAACTGTAGGAGATGCAGTGAGTACGAGCACCACAGCCCTATATCATGTCAACCTTACCTTCTTGTTGTCGGCCATTGTGTTCAGGAGATGGATTGTATTGAGTTGTGATATGCTAGGATGGGTGGGTGAAGCAGATGCTGGTGCTACACGTCCTCTATGACCAGCTTTTATAGGCTGTGGTCAATCCAGCGGCTTATTGACAAACGTCGGCGGTGCCGGCTGATCGGGTGTATGCATATTCGCAGCAGTCCAGTAAAGTTGCCGCCCGAGCACGACGGAGTATGCTGACGTCTTAACAGCGCCCCGGCCCCGAAACAGGACGCATCCATTCTTTACAAGGTCGGCTTTGGCACCGGTGACACCCTAGTTTCGCCTCAACGCTGGATTATGGCGGAGACTGTTGCAATAATGACTACGCATGTGCAAGTCCTCTGACGGATATTATGAAAGCGGCGTCGCATCCCGCTGCCATAGCGTTGGTCAAGTAGCGACAATCTCGGCGTCGGTCTTTTCATAACACTGTTCCGCGATACAGTCAGCGGATTCGATGACGGAGGATGGAAAAGGGGGAGAATGGCGTAGGAGTTTTGAGTCTTTGACTGACCGGCACCTCGCCGAGCGTGGACATGGGGACCGTGATTATCCTCGAGTTGTGGCAGCAGCACTTGGGAATGTAATTGAATGTGCCCCGTGCGTTCCGAATCGATGCTCCAGTACGCCACAGGACGGGAGTAGTTTGGTCGATTGAAGCCCTCGAACCGGGGCGACGAGGAATGGCGCTAGCATTTCCAGTTCGGCAGAGCTGCGCGCGCAGGGCCCGAAGGTGTCGGGATGCTTGTCTCGGGGCCAATGTTACGTAGCTATCAGCTGGTTGTTGACGAGAACTGTATCATTTCCGCGCCCTGTCGGCCCTAGCGTCTGATCTTGCTAAGAGGTCCTGGTCAAGGTTGAAGGTAAACTGCGAAAGGCGGTACTTGATCATGAGGCCTTGAGGCCTAATGATCTGTAACCGGGCCGAACCACCGACGGGCTACGCCTACACAGGACGTTGTCTCGTCGCCTGAATTATGCTACGTGGCATGCCAAGTACAATTATGAACACAACGGTGAGCTCCGCTATAGTAAGCCTCAATCAACCTCGTGGAGCCCGGAAGAGCTATCCGTGAATTCGTCGAGTCGGACGATGACTTGATCTATGGTTGGACGTTTCGTGGGCTCCTCTTCCCAGCAATCCAACAGAAACTGCCAGAACCCGTCACCCAGCCCCCGTCGCATTACTTCTTCGCCCTCAGGCCGGCGCGGAAGCTCACCATGAAACTTCGCAACGACCACCCGAGTATCAGAGTAATAATCATATGGAACCACGCCGCTCAGAATCTAACCAATCGTCAGGGATTGTTCAAGCAGCATATAACTAACATGATGTCACCTCCAGAGCAGTCATGCCGAACGAAAATATATCGACCGGGAAGCGATATTGGGGGATCTCGCCGGGTTTGTCCACGACTAGCTCAGGAGCAAGCCATCTGCCACCGTGTTGGTCAATAACGAGCGAATTGGCACGAGCGTGAGTATTCACCTCGCACTCGGCGTTGTTGACAAAGTGAACTGTGCATCGACAGTATCCGAGATGATCTATGCAAACGCATAAGAAGACCGTAGAATGAGTCGTGGGGGAACTCGCACCTTGGCAAGACCAAAGTCTGAAATCAGGGGGCGCGGTCTTCCACTTGACGTGTCAATCTGTATCATATCCTGAGGAGACGGACGCTTGCTGATCAACTACCCTGTCAAGTCGTATAGTGACTGCAACGTACGCCCTGCCGATATTATGGTAAGTGAAAGATCAATCTGTCAGCAATGTGTTGTGGAATTACCCGGAGATATCCATGTACAATTTTGAGATCATGTAGCACCTTAAGGCAGCGTGCAATGCCTTTGATCTACGAGACATCGATATGGTGTGTCTAGCATGCATGACTGAGCTGCCTTACAAGTTCAAGTCTGTCGGCATCTGGATGTGCTTCGAGATATTCCACCACGGTACCATCTGGCATGAAGGGGCTGACGATGAACCTATGACCTGATCAGTATTCTCTTCAGACTCCGGTCATGTGTGGACACACTTACGGTCCAGGTGGGCCATGGCTGTAGCCCCAGTACGGCAAGATGTGCTCGCCTTTATCTGCTGCATAAACCTTCTTCCAAATACGGCACTCTTCACCGAACCGCTTTATAGGCGTGAACAACGATCTCGGGTTTGCGGGGATATCGAGCCCACCTTGAGGATCTTCGGTTCGTCTCTCGCGTCTACTCGCATACACTTGAGAATTACCTGCCCTTTTCCAAGATACTCGCCTCGATACCACTCGATGTAACCATTAAACAGGAAGGCGAGCCTTTCAGAACGTATCTCGTATTCTCCCAACTTGCGAATCTCGTAGTCGTTAAGCTCCGGGTTAGGCAGTCGTTGCTTCACCACCGTTAAGAGGTCGTACAGCAGGGGCTCCATGTTCTTCACGATTTCGTTATTCTCTCCCACGGAACGCGAAGTCTAGTCAAGCAAGCTTGGTAACGTCGAATGGTAAACAAAGTAGCTTACTCACAACCTGAATATGACCAGCCAAATCGTCGATGGCATCCGCGTATATATCTAGACGCTCGCCAATGGAACGCAACTCTCCCAACACCCTGAGCTGATCACGTTGCTGCGCTATGTGTAGCTCAATCAACCAGTCCTGGGTATCGAGGTGGGCGACGAGCTGCGGCAAGTGTCAGTACCATAAGCTGCCATCTAAATGTGCGTCATAGCTACCTGAGCGCGTTGCATCAATTTATCGATACGCTCTGCGTAGCCGTTGATCTCGTTTTCGATGGTCTTCAACCTCGCGAATTGTACGATCGTCTTCTTGCTCGTCCACTTCTCCATTGAACGGAGCGCATCTTGTATCAAGCTTTGCGCACGTAAATATCACGATCTTCGCCTGGCATACCCAGATAGAACTCACACTTCTATGTCGCGTAATACCCTCTTGAGGCTCCAACTGAAATAACTGATCCGCTCCTGATACTGATTTCGTCTGTGCAAAGCCACCAGTAGTTCGTTGCACTGCTGAGCCAAGCGTCGCGAGGCCTCCCTGCCGACGATGTTGATAACCTGGTGATTACTTCGGAGACAAAGGGGTGCTGACCTGTTTTCCCCGACTTTCTCGCACAGCTCTAATAAACTCTGAACCCCCGCCAGTGCAGTAGACAAATAAGGCACGCCAGAGAGGTCTACTGCAGTCTTGGCGACAGCAGTCGTTGCACGCATACCATAAAGCCAACCCATAGTGATGGATAAGTATGCTGACAGAGGGGAAGGGGTGATGAACGAGGATGAGATTCTGGTACCGGATCAGTCGTCAGATGGTATATAAGATATGAGCGGTGTACTGACAAGCTCCTTGGAAACCTCTTTGTTCTCGGGGGCGCGGAAAGCGCCCCCGAAGGCTGAGTGGAAGAGTCCGGCTTGACAGGTGATTGAACGCGATAGACCAAAGGGAGTCATCCGAGGGCGCAATGCCGGATTCCGGACGCAGTCCATAAGATGGGTTCTGTACCGTACAAGGGGCCGTTTGGTGTGTCCTACGCGTGTTGCTATTGTTCACAGCCCGTCCCAGGCCTCAAGGATGCCCGGAATAGGAAATGCAGTCCTCCAGGAGCTGATACGGATCACCTCAGACACGCCGCGTGCCATGGTAGAGGTCGTTGGTTTCATGCTGCAGTGCTTTTCACGAGACTCGTTCAGCATATGTGTGTAGCAGGGAGGCAAGAGAGCGGCCGCCGTGTCTTCAGTGAGGTAGACGGACAACCCCTACCACAGGCCTAGGGTTATGGCTCTAACACGAAGATACTCGTCCCGACATTGACACCGAGAGCTCACAGGATGTATATTATCATGGTGGTGAGGGTATGCATCGTTCGAGGGGTATTCTACTACGGAAGTCCTGACCCAGGAACGTACTGCAGCGCCGCCTAAAATCCGTGACCACTCATTATAGCCGGGCGATCACCTCGTCAATTGTGGGCCGCTTCGTAGGATCCGTTTGCCAACAGTCTAGAAGGAGGCTCCACAGGGAGTCGTCTAGTCCATTGGCCACCACCTCCGGCTCGGTGGGTTGAGGCGGAAGTTCACCTCTCATCATCTTCGCTAGGAAGGCTAGATGGAAGGCGTTGTAATTGGAATATGGGTGCTGGCCCGTCATCACCTACGACAGGTCAATCAGTCGAGCAATTTGCCAGCCTTGCTGTGATATTACCTCGAGTATGGTCATGCCGAAAGCATAAACGTCCGCCGGTGTACTGTATATCTGAGCCTTTGACGCGTTTCCGGCCAAAACCTCGGGGGCAGCCCATCTGTGAAACACAAAGGAAAGGTCAGTTGGAGAAGCCGATTGTGTTCGTCGTTGTGCGTGCCTAGTAATCTCGTATCCGCGAGAGTCGGTGAATTCCACGATGTTGTCGACCATCATCTTCAGCCGGCATGAGTCACATGGTGGGATCTCTATTCGGATACTGGGGTCCTCACCTTAGTCAAGCCGAAATCAGAAAGCAAGACTTTAGGGCTTCCAGTTGACGTGTCTATGCAACATTGAGCCTTGTGTGTCCATCAGCGATATCTCCTTTGCCCGGATTTCTCGATACTCACACCCTACGAGGGCGTGCGGTCAGTCAAGAATGTACGGAAAAGCGGAGTGACCAACCTGGATATTGCCATGGACTATATCCATGTTGTGAAGTACCCTGATGGCTTGCGCCAGAGACCTGACCTGTGTGATGGGCGGGTTAACATTGCCGTGAACAAAGTCTCATGCAGCGGCGGATCATCACCAGTTGCATTCGATCTACAGCATTGCCATGTTTTTCGATATACTCCATGATAGATCCTTCTGGAAAATAAGGACTAAACACGAAACTGGCCCGCAACCGTATCAGATGCGTGGATGTGGAAGTCGGCACCTTACTCACGGGTGATCGCCATCTTGTCCGTACCCCCAGAAAGGCACTATATGCTCGCCGCTGTCGACTTCGTACACAGCCTTCCATACATCGATTTCCCGAATGAAGCGCTGATGGACAGTCAGATCGCTGCTCGTGCATGCCTATGCAGTTGAGCCACATACTCGTTTCACTTTGTCGCTCATCTTGCATTGGTGTATCCGTTTGACAACAACCTCCCCCCTTTCAGTATGGACACCTCTGAAGTTCTCCAAAGCACCATTACAGCTCATAGAAAACGCTTCGATCTGTCGTCGGATGGTGCTTGCTCCGACACGCATGACTGCTAGTCCACTCCCAGAGAGAGATTCCTGAATGTTGACCAGAACCTCGCTCTGATACTTGTGTTCCTGTGCCGCGACCCTCGCGAAGTCCACCAGCTGTCATACAGTCTGTGATTGATTCGCAACATACGCGAGAACGAGACACACCTCGCTAGTCTTCGTTTCCGTGCTCAAGATACGGGTCTGAATAGAGACTGTGTTGCGCCCAATCTCGTCCAGTTTCTGTTGCGTACGCTGATCAGCAATTCTTTGTAACAGCTCTCGCTCTTGGCCCTGCTCGCGCGCGTCGAGCACAGCTATGAGCTGAAATTGTTGAGGTGAGCGACAATGCGCGTACTCGAACGACGTTACGTTACCTGGAACTCGTCGAGGCATGAGGCGATGCGGTCGTGATATTGTGCAATTTCATCCTCGATAGACCTCTGGCCCGTGAACATTTGCCACCATCTACGACACAGAATCTGTTGCAATTTTCCATGAGCGTCCTGGACAATCCTATCGACGATCAGGTCAGCGGACGAAGCATGGGTCAGTATTGGTAATATGTGTACCCGTTGAGGCGCAACACGGCTTCTCCCATGTCTGAGTTTCCGTCGATGGGCTTCGCTCCCGTCTTCCTATGAATAGCAATCATGAGGCGGAAGCAATGTTCGCACAGAGCTATTGCCGCTTTTCTGAGTATCTCGACATTGATCAATACGAGCGTCACCAAGCTGAAGGGCGTAACTCACTTGTTCGCGTCAACTTTGTCGCAAAGATCGAGGATCTTGTCGAGAGTACCAATCGCGGGGGCAAGGTACGATATACCGGATAGATCAGCAAAATCTTTGGCGACGCTCAATCCGGCTCGAGCGAAGTGGGTGGTATCGGCCTTGGCGAGCATGACGGGATTGTATTTTGAGCGTACGGAGGGGGCTTGATTCTAGCAATGAGACGGGATGACCTCCGACGTGAGCGTTCTTATAGAGTTAGGCCTCCGCTGTACGGCGCATCCCAATCGTGATTCCGTTAGCGATGACACGGGTATTGCTCCGCCGTGGATCACGTCCCGCGATACGAGCGTATGCGGATCACCAACAGCCGCCCACAATACAACAAAGCTATGAAGCAGACAACCTCTTTCCCAACAGAGGACAGCGCGGGTTTCTATGCGGTAACGAGCCTGGCATGTCGAGAACCTTTCGGACAATGGCTTAGTTGGGTGGCACTCTGCGCTCTGCGTGGTTGAGTGAGTCCAAGGACAAAGGACAAAGTGGCATCGGAGTCAAAGTACAAAGGGAGACAAAGAGCATCGCGGCGCGCCGTCGTTGCGTGTCTCGAGCTTCCACCAGTCTCGTTGACCTAAAAATAGCCTATGCCCAGTGGGTACCATTTCGGCGTTTACTTGCTTCCGCACAATCAGCCAGGAATCAGAGAGGGACAGCTTTGATTTCGGAAATTATACGTATACCTTTCAGCGCACTCGTTTCAACTCCGCGCTTTTCTTACTCTCTTTACGTATCTTGCAAGCTCAGACACCGCGTTCGATATGCATGATATGTCGCACGATCGTTGCGATCATGTTGTGGCACCTTAAGCTTGTTCGAGACTCTTTTAGTCTGCGTAGCGAAGTGATATACGTAGTGAGAGGCAAATGGCACAAGAGACACGACAGAGTTGCTTGTCCAGGTACCGGTGTAAGTATGTACGGCTATGGGACGTATCACGGGTATAGTATGCTACGCTAACAAGTCATGGAGACTGGCCGTACTTATTCTATGTGGACGAGAAGGGATGTATTGTACGCAACGAAAGTCCCTTCCGTTATATGGCTCGTAACATCGCTCATAGTCGAGTGACAACCTCGTCGATGGTGGGCCGCTTCGCGGAATCCCTCTGCCAGCAATCCCACAGGAGATTCCACAGAGCATCGTCTAGCCCATTGGCCACCACCTCCGGATCTGTGGGTCGTTGCGGTAGTTCATCTTCTTTCACCTTCGCTATGAAGGCCCTCTGCGGTTTGGTATAATTTGAGTATGGCTGTTGACCCGTCATCACCTATAAGGTGTCAGCGATCGATGCGACCTCAGACCGGGTTGCGGCCTTACCTCGAGTATAGTCATGCCCACAGCATAGACGTCCGCCGGTGTGCTGTATATCTGAGTTTCTGTCTGGTCAAAATCCACAATCTCAGGAGCAGCCCATCTGTGCAAACAAGAACGAAGTGAAAAAGACAGTGGTTCTGGTTCGTCAGAGGTGCATACCTAGTGATCTCATATCCACAGGAATTGGTGAACTCCAGCATGTTGTTGGCCATCACCTACATTCAGTATCAGTTGTACGATCATAGCTCGTCATTGCTTGATAATGTCGTTCGCACCTTAGCCAGCCCGAAGTCAGCGAGCAAGACTTTTGGACTCCCTGTCGACGTGTCTATGAGACATGTAGACTTGCGTACTCATGAGCGATACTATAGTCGCAGGAATGTGACATTACTTACACCCTATCACGAGAAACATCAGACAAGGCCGCACCGAGAACACGAATGACTCACCTGTATATTACCATGGACTATCTTCATGTCGTGGAGTACCTTGACACTTTCCGCGATAGACCGAATCTGTCGCACGGGGAAAGTCAGCCTCGCGGTAAGCACATAACGATCAAGCGAGGGATTTCAATTACCAGATGCCTACGATCAACATCACTGTGTTTCCGGATGTAGTCCATGATGGACCCTTCTGGAAGATAAGGGCAAAACACAAATCTAGCCCGCGAGAGTATTCAGTGTGTGGATGAAACGAACTTGGAATCCGACTCACGGGTGCTCGCTATACTCCCCGTACCCCCAGTAAGGTAGTATATGTTCGCCGCCGTCGATTTCGTACACGGCCTTCCATAAGGTGATTTCCCGAGCGAAGCGCTGGCACAAATGTTGAGCTGTAGCACTCGCGTGCTCATACGATTATACGACATACCCGTTTCACCTTGTCATTCATCTTGCATTGACGTATCCACCTTACAACCACTTCCCCCTTTTCGCTGTGCAACCCTCTGTAATTATCTATGGCACCATTCCAGCTCATAGAGTACGCTTCGCCCTTGCGTTGGATGGTGCTTGCGCCAACGCGCATGACCATCAGTCCACTCCCAGAGATAGATTCCTGTATGCTGAATAGAACCTCGGTCTGGCGCTTCTGCTCGTCCACAGCAACTTTCGTGATGTCAGTCAGCTATCAAGCATCTTCAGCCTGGGTGCAACGTGGCAGAAGATTGAGCGTACCTCGCTGGTCTTCGTTTCCGTGTTCACGACACTTGCATGAATGGCCACAGTGTTGTGCCCAATTCGGTCCAGTTTTTGGTGGGTGCGCTTATCGGCAATCCTCTGTAGCAGCGCCCTCTCTTCATCCTGCTCACGCGCGTCTAGCACTGCGATGAGCTGGGGTGCTGGATATCAGCAAACAATGTGACTATCGAAGGGGCGAGACCGTACATGGAACTCATCGAGGCATGTGGTGATTTGTTCACGATATTGTGCGATATCGTCCTCGATTGACTTCTGCCGCAGGAACTTGTACCACTTCTTACGTTCGATGATCTGTTTCAAGTCGCGATGAGCGTTCTCGACGATTCTATCAACTATGCGGTGAGCGGACAGAAAGGCATGACAATCGCGTTCAGTGTATGCACCCGTTAAGACGTGACACAGCTGCTTCCATGTCCGAGTTCTCATCGATGCGATTTCCCCCAAGCCTCCTATGAATAGCAATCATGAGGCGGAAGCAATGTTTGCATAGGGCTATTGCTGCTTTCCTGTAGATGTCAGAATTGATCAGCATCATCATCGCGGAGCTGGAGCTGGAAGGAAGGACTCGCTTGTTTGCTTCGACCTTGTCACAAAGCTCAAGTATCTTGTCCAGCGTACCGATGACGGGAGCGAGGTAAGATATTCCCGACAGATCAGCGAAGTCCTTGGCAATGTTCAAACCAGCTCGAACCAAGTGGCTAGTATCAGTTTTGGCGGACATGGTGAGGAAGTATTTCGGCGGACGATACTGCTAGTGAGAAGATAGGATGACCTTGATCTTGAACGCTCTTATACAGCGAACCTTGTGGGCGCAACTACGAAGTAATGAAGACACCCCTGCGTTACCAGGCCAGCCCAATCACGCGTCCTAGGCAAAGCATACGTCCCGATTATGCTCTGGATCGATCCCGCGACATGAGCGGGGAGGGTAAAGGAGTCTCAAGGACCAACAAAAGCTATGAAGCAGACAGCATTGTGCGCGAGGGTGGACAGCGCGGGTTTCTATGCAGTCCTCGAGCATGGCAGTGCGTTGTACTTTGAATGATGATAATGTGTCCGAGTGGGTCCATGGACAAAAGACAAAGAGGCGAAAGCCGCATGGGATGAGAGTACAAGACAGAGGAACGCAAGCGCCGTCTCGGGTCCTATTGACGTAAAAATAGCCTACGGTCGGCAAATAACAATCCAGCTGCATTACTTTGCTTCCGGAACATGAACAAAGGATAGCTTTGCGCTCGATGTACGGTTGGCTATGCAATTCTCAGTGTACTCGCTTCGACTCCGCGCTTGTCCGACACTCTTCTCGTGCCTTGAGCTCGAACTGTTTCCGCCACCGTTTCCATTCTTCGTCGGTTCCTCCATCACCATACACAGCCCACCCGTCACGTATGCGAAGCCACTGAGCAAGTGGATGATCCAGTAAGGCAGTCCTTAGGGTCTTGAGCGGTGAGGGTGATGGACGCGTTGGGATGAGCTCTACCACGGTATAGAAGGCTGTTCCGCACAAAGCGCCGATGATCAAACCCCAGACGATCTGGTGAGGTGTGTGATACCCGAGATGATAACTACATGCCCGTGATGAGAAATTTGCCGTGCAAATCACGAATATGGGGCGCACCGAGAGTAGGCAACCACCCCTGCCCAGCATATTAGTCCAAGGCATACCAAGGGCTTGAGCAAACGGTCCAGGAGGCGGATTCCTGAGGGCGGGAACCGATGCCGGATGTAGAGGTGACATATCAGGAAGGATACGAAGTATCCCATGTATTGACTATGCGAAGAGGGAAAGCCATATCCCGGTCCCATTTCTGCATTGCACAGCGTAAGTAGGCTGGAATTCCCTTGGTGATTTAGACCGACGCACCCATAGGACGATCCTGCTTGATTATGTGCTTCAATACGAAGTTAAAGCCTTCGCACGCGAACTGTCCTGCCCACATCAGGATTATGGTTAACTCTCGCGTCTGGACCGCTAATGCTGCATACGAGGCCTGTTCAATAAGTGTGGTGCTCCCCGACAGCACGCTCGGACAACGCACCATCAGGAGGACGGGACTAAGAGTGATCAAAGCGAGAACTAGCGAGAGATGCGAGGTATCATCGTCTGCAACTCCCGGTCAGAAAACTACGGCGTGAACGGAAGGTCGGCTTTCCTGGACATACATACTACATGTGTTAGATCCAGAGATGCACGCGACGCCGGAAGGACGTCGGTCATGTTCAGCCGTTGACGACCACAAGTCTCTTCGCTCAAGACACCGAATGTGAGATATACGCGCTGGCGTGTCGATGGCAAGCGCAGTGGAAGAGGCGGAGGGTGATCACGCGCTTGGCCAAAGCTCGACGACCGACCGACGACGAGAGCTCAGGCTTTGACGGTCACGACCATCGATGCTTCTTCTTACGCGACGAATCCCTGCAATCAACGGATCTGGCATACTTAAGAGACCCGACACGTACCCCAAAGTCTCATTCTGTTGGCGAAGGCCATCTACCCTCGAATTCGCACCATGGGACCCGCAACCGCCGCCCGCTGACGTGTCGTTTCCTTGGACGACATGGACCGACTCCGTCTTCATTGCTGTTCTAGGTCACCGCAGAAGAGCTACCAGGATAAGATCTTTTGGAACAAATGCGGATAGACTTCGGCAGCGACGCCGGATCTCCCTAAGTACAGCTGTGTTCTGGCGCTCTTCGACGAGCTATATGACCTTCTTTGCGCCGTTCTATTCGTAACTGCAGTCATCAGGTCTTGAAGACTCCGCACCTTACCGTACAGAAGCGATGCCCACCACTCGCGAGTCCCGAGATCTCATCGAAGGCCAATAGGAGACGATGTGCTCATCCTGGTGGTCTGGAGGCAACGTCCGTCTGTTATTCTCATGCTGTGTGGTGCTCGTTATATAGGATCAAGTTGACGTTCGAAGAGCCTCAGCCAACAACCTTGCCTCCTGCAGGTCCGAAATGATGTTCACGGCCGCACTTCTGTCAGTTGCCCCTTTGGCATTCGCGGCATTGGTAGATGCCATCGTAACTCAAGGCTCGTACACATGGAAGAACGTCAAAATTGGTGGAGGCGGAGGTCGGCCAGCAAAAAGAGTCTGCGCATATATGCTGATGACGTAGCCAATAGGTTTCGTCCCCAACATCGTCTTCAATACCGAAGAAAAAGGCCTCGCATACGCCAGGTAAGTTCGCCATTCATACTCAGTCGTCTATATGCCAAAATTGTAATCATACAGGACCGATATTGGCGGTGTTTATCGGCTGAACCCAGACGATTCATGGACACCTTTGACCGACTTCGCCAATGATACCTACTGGGGGTTCTGGGGCTCGGGTGGGTGGACAGCTCACTGATCCTATCATATCCTTCGGCTTATCCCAATCATGGACGTCAGATGCTCTGGCCACCGATCCTGTGGACCCCAATAACTTGTACATCGCTACTGGCATGTACACTAACTCTTGGGTTCGTCCATGGGGGGATCTTGGGAACACCTTCGTCTCATGTCGTTCTTCAGGACCCCAACAACGGTCATATTCTCAAGTCGACGAACCGCGGCGCATCGTTTACTGCATTCCCTCTTCCCTTCAAGGTGAGACATGATCTGATTGGGGGCTATACCTCCTGCTTATCTCAGAATAGGTCGGTGGAAACGATCCCGGACGAGGCATGGGCGAGCGTCTTGCGATAGACCCGAATAATGTTAGTGAATCGTCATATTATTCGTTGTACGTGTCGCGTGAATTCTGTATAGAACAAGATCCTGTTTTTTGGAGCACGTTCAGGCCACGGCCTTTGGAAATCGACCAATTCCGGAGAAACTTGGACGAATGTCACATCCTTTCCATCTGTCGGCACCTATGTTCAGGATCCGACGGATCCTTCCGGACTGGGAAGCGACATCATGGGCATCGCTTGGGTCACCTTCGATCACGTCTCCGCTGACTCCAAGACCTCGACCGGATCTAAACGCATCTTTGTCGGTGTTGCTAACATGGGTGCGGACAACGTCTTCGTCAGCGAGGACGCCGGAGTTACGTGGAAAGCTGTCTCTGGCCAGAACTCGACCTTCATCCCGCATCACGGTGTCTTGAGTCCCAAAGAGGGCCCTGCTCTGTACCTGCCCTACGCTAACGGCATGTGAGTCTTTACCCGTCTCTTCAATACAACGAAAGTATAGCTCAGTCCTTGCGACAGTGGCCCTTACGACGGTACCGCCGGTTACGTGAAGAAGTACTTCATCAATAACAGTACTTGGGTCGACATCACTCCTGCTCAAGGCATCGCGGACAACGCTTATGGCTACGGTGGTCTCTCTGTCGACTTGCAAAGGCCGGGTACGGTGATGGTCGCACCCCTCAATGAATGGTACCCGGATGCCGAGTGAGTGCGCTAACTTGTCTATGTGTCAAGCTGGCTCCTTAACATGGCGGTATAGCATCTACCGTAGCACCGACGGCGGTAATTCGTGGACCGGACTCTTTACGACGAGTTACCCACCTCCCGACTATCAGCTCTTCGTCAATCGCTCTTATAATTACGATGTTAGCAAAGCGCCTTGGATCACGACCTTTGCGACGGGAGATACTAAGCACATCGGTAATGTGATCTTGTTCACCATTCAGCGCCGTCATTGAACCATTTCTCTTCCTTCAGGATGGATGATCGAGGGCCTCTCGATTGATCCTTTCGATTCTGTATGTCGCATCGTGGGCTGACCAATATCGTACTGATCGGACAATACTCGTCAGAACCACTGGTTGTACGGTACCGGGTTGACACTCTATGGCGGACACGATCTCCTAAATTGGGACGCTGCCCCTCGCAAGAATGTCACGGTCGCGAGCCTGGCAGACGGAAGTGCGTAGAATTCTGCAACCCTCACTTATGTCAGCATTCATGACCTTGATAGTCGAGGAAACTGCGGTTCAGGGCCTATCGGCTCCTCTCAGTGGCCCTCTCCTATTGAGCGCTGTTGGCGATGTCGGTAAGTAAACCGACCATTAGTTGTCATCTCATCAACTCAGCCTTGAGCCTTGGATAGGTTCTTTCCGTCACACCTCTTTGACCACTCCACCTACGGAGAATGCAAACCCGATATGGGCAGGAGTAAGTCCTTTTACCCCTTGCGAGAATGTCCCTGATGCCAGTCATAGACCGCTTCTGATGTTGACTACGCCGGTGGTGCCCCTTCTAACCTCGTGCGTCTGGCGGGCATCGCTGGCCAACCGATCGCCACGAGTAACGACAGCGGCGTCACCTGGACTCCTCTTTCGACCGCATCGAGTACGGCGTCCGGCGGCAAGATTGCAATCTCTGCGGATGGCTCGACCATCGTTTGGTCCCAGGCGTCGGGCTTGAGCGGACCGCAATACTCTGCGAACGGCGGGGCCTTTGCAGCCCCGGCAGGCTTGCCTTCATCGGCGCTCGTCGTAGCCGACAAGCTCAACACATCCGTGTTCTATGCCATATCCGGGAAATCGTTCTATGTATCCGCCGACGGTGCCAAGACGTTTACCCAGACCTCCACCCTCGGCACCGCCCAGTCTTCCACCGCGATCGCTGCGTCCCCGTTCAAAGCAGGAGAGCTGTTCGTCTCTACCTCCGCGGGCGTCTTCCATTCAACGGATTTCGGCAAGACTCTTACCAGCATACCCGGCGCAACGAACGCCTGGGACATCGCCGTGGGTGTGCCCAAGACGAAGAGCGCGAGGACGCCGCCGGTGCTCTTCGCTTCGGCGACCATCTCGGGTGTCAACTCCGTTTACCGCACGGATGATCTCGGCGCGAACTGGGTAAAGGTGGCGGATGTCGCGCATGGCTTCGGGTCCGCATCTGGCTTGGTTTTGGCGGCGGATGCGAGAGTGTATGGGCGCGTATTTGTGGGGACGAACGGGCGAGGTATATTCTACGGAGAAGTCTAAGCTCTATAGGTACCTGGATGGAACGTGCTCTGCGCCATCGTCAATCATTCAGGTATTGTCCGTCTGTCTCTCGACTTCGTATATACACCTATGTTGGTTTGGAGCGCACGTTTGAGAATATGCCACTGGTGCGGTACCTGGAAGTTTCTCCGGCGAATACGTGGGGGTTCCTCGGTAAGCACGATTGTCCGATCTGCAAGCCCCTTAGGCAAGTGCAGAAGGTTGCGATATCTGATGGAATGGTCGTACATGGCGTTCCCCTTGGATAGCTGCTGTAGTGCCTGCAACTAGTTTTAAGCGAGTTGTCTCGCGATCGTGCTTAAGGACTAGGTGCTGCGTAGCTGCCAGCGTCTGCATCGGCAAGTTCCGCATCTGTCTAAAGAGTGCCCTCATTCTCAGGGCGAGCGCCGGTCTTGCCGCAGGTCCTCTTCACGGTGATATCTCCATGCTGGTCGTCCACATCCGCCTTTCTTCCAACAAACAGGAACAAATGAACCGTAGATGTGATGTCGGCCGGATCGATCTGGGATCGGCGCCACATCACATGCATGGCCGGCCCAGTTGACATCATATCAGAGGCGAACATAAAGTCATCGTGCAAACGTTCCTCGTCCCTACTCAACTTTCGTCTACGATGGCACACCAGGTCAAGGAGATCCCCACGAAGCCCTACGACGGTCAAAAGCCCGGCACATCCGGTCTGCGCAAGAGGTAAGCGCTACACGACGTATCGATCGCCTTGGCATGTCATATCGACGCGTTCATCAGGGTGAAGGTCTTCCAGCAGGAGGTACGCCCGCGAGCGGCGTGGACATTCGATCGCCGCTGATCATCTTTTCCCTTCGATAGCACTATACCGAGAACTTCATCCAAGCCATCTTCGACGCCGTACCTCCACAAGGCGCGACGCTCGTCGTCGGTGGTGACGGGCGCTTTTTTCTGAAGGAAACCATTGCCAACATCCTCAAGATTGGCTCTGCGAACGGCGTTAAGAAGTTCATCATCGGCCAGAACGGCATCCTCTCCACGCCCGCCGGATCGCATGTCATCCGCAAGCGCAAGGCGAACGGCGGCATCCTGCTGACTGCCAGCCACAACCCCGGTGGACCAGACAACGACTTCGGTATCAAATACAACATGTCCAACGGTGGTCCGGCTCCGGAGGGTGTGACTAACAAGATCTTCGAGAAGACCAAGACCATCTCGCATTATAAAGTCCTAGAGGCTCCTCAGGTGCGTGTAATGATGTATCGTCATTCGATTCAGCTAACAGTATCCTCGCAAACCAGGTTGATGTTTCGAAGATCGGATCCTTCTCATATGGACCTTCAGAAGTCGAGATTATCGATCCCGTCTCTGATTACCTCGAGTACCTCCAGGAAATCTTCGACTTCCCTCTCATGAAGAACTTCCTGCACAACTCTCCCCAAGCCGCCTCGTTCAAGGTCCTCTTCGACGGCATGCACGGCGTCACCGGGCCCTACGCCAAAGCCATCCTCCTCGGCGCTCTCGGCCTCCCGGAGAGCTCCGTCCAGAACTGCGAACCCCTGCCCGATTTCGGCGGAGGACACCCTGACCCCAACTTGATCTACGCGCACACTCTCGTGGAGGCCGTCGAGAGCGCGCATATCCCGTTCGGTGCGGCCAGCGATGGTGATGGCGACCGGAACATGATCTACGGCGCCGGTGCGTTCGTGACCCCCGGTGACTCCGTTGCGATCATCGCCGAGTACGCGTCGGAGGCGATCCCGTACTTCAAGAAGGGCGGCGTCAAGGGTCTCGCACGTAGCATGCCTACCAGCGGTGCCATTGACCTCGTAGCCAAGGACAAGGGCGTCGAGTGCTTCGAAGTTCCGACCGGTATGTTACTTGCTTCCCTCATGGGCTCGTTAATTCAGAAGCTGCCCCATAGGTTGGAAGTTCTTCGGCAACCTCATGGATGCCGGGCGCCTATCCATCTGCGGCGAGGAGTCTTTCGGAACCGGCTCGGACCACGTCCGCGAGAAGGACGGCGTTTGGGCTATCATCGCCTGGCTCAACATCCTCGCCTACGTCAACGAGTCTCAGACGAAGGTGCAGGGCGGCGCGCCGGCCGTGATTGGCATCAAGCAGCTGCTCGAGAAACACTACGCCAAGTACGGCCGCAACTTCTTCTCGCGGTACGACTACGAGGAGGTTAGCTCCGAGGGCGCGGCCAAGCTCGTCGATAAGATCAACGCGCACATCTCGAGCGGCGATCTCAAGGGGAAGAAATTTACGAGCCCGAGTACCGGCACCGAGTTCGTTGTCAAGGAGGCGTTTAACTTTGACTACACGGACCCGATCGACCATAGCGTGAGCAAGAACCAGGGACAGGTCGTCCGGTTCGAGGATGGCAGCCGGATCGTCTGGCGGTTGAGCGGAACGGGAAGCCAGGGCGCCACTGTGCGCATGTATGTGGAGCGGTGAGTGCACTTCCTCCTCAATCCGTGGTATGGTAGCTCATGCATATACGCATAGCTACGTGCCTGCCTCTGCTGGCCCCGCTGAGCTCCAACGGGATACTGCCGATGGCCTCAAGGCTTTGATTGAGGTCGCTCTCGAGATTAGCAGCCTCAAGGAGTTCTTGGGCCGCGACAAGCCGACCGTCATCACTGTAAGCCCTGCTATGAGTTCCGTACGTGAGAGTCCAGTTCTGATGTTTCCGTCTTACTTCACAGTAATTCGTGGAACGACACGGGGTAATTCGGATATAAAGTGTACCATAATCTCCTATACTTGTGGATCTCAGTAGCATACGGCATATCTGCTTTGCGCCGATTTGGGCCGCAGGAGCTTTGAGGAGTTCACATGTCACGCTGTCACAATACGCGTTCATCCGTTCCACGCATCACGAATGAAGAGATGACGACCCGCCTTGCCCTTGAACTTACTCTAAAGCTGAAGCTATGATGTTGAACGCGGATACTACGTCGGGACTCAAAGAACTTAATGCGGACGTTCCCGTGGTCTCACACAAGCTATCGCCTTCGCGACATGAAATCAGGCGTCTATCAAGCATTGCCCCCACTCTTCGCACCGTCCCATGAATGATGCCCTTATAGGGCAGAATGCTGCATCAGTAGGCTTTAGAAGCGTCAAAGCAATGCATACAGCCAGCTATCCCTTTGCATAAGTAGTCGACAGCGATCCCCGATATCCATAGGACACCGTAGCTCCTCTCGAACGGATTACATCGCTATGAAGGGCGCAAACGCTACCTTCGTCGCTGAGACCACGTTTACACTCACTGCCATCGCTGCTGAGCTCTCGGCAGTGCCGTACTTGGGAGCGGTGGTGGGCGGCCTACGGGAGATCCTGGCACTTTGCGACAATGTGCGGCTTAATAGGTGATTACTTGTGACTGGAACTTGAAGCCATGCCGAATTCTGACTTTTCCTCCCTCGGTCGTTAGGAACGCGGCAGCTCAGCTTGCATTAAGATGTGGTCTATTGGCTGAAGCGCTGTACCAGAGCAACGGGAACAAACAGTTCAATTCAAGCGACGTTGACATGAATGCTGCGCTTGCTCGTGTCGAATCGTGGGCAACGTCCTATCCGAAAACAGAATTCACATTGACTACTATCAACAGGGAGATCCTTCATATAAGGGACAGGATGATGAAATGGCGCGACTGGAACACGCTGAAGAACTTCGTGAAGCAGAAGGAGATCAAGGAGGAGATCGATGATTCTAACGCAGCGCTGAGTGCGTGTGCAGAAAGCCTTTTCGTAAGCGACGAACTATGACATAGAGGGCGAGCCTGGCTGAATGACCTCGAAATCTAGCTCACCTCACATCTTCAAATGCATCAGATGCAGAGCGATTTCACGGCGGTGCACGCTATCGACCGGATGGAATTGTTCGCGGCGTTGAACCGGTTAGAAGCACAAGGGGAGGAAACCAACAATCAAGTGTTTGTAATCATGAATTCTGTCCAGCAGGAGGTACGCGCATGCGACGAAACACCGAGCCTGCCGCTGAACAATTGCTAGATTCTTCCTTCGTTGTCGAGGGGCGATCTGCGACTGACGGAGATATTGAGGCTCTTGTTCGACCTACAGACGAAGTACGAGCAGCTGCTGCCTAACATGAATCTTAACCACGGTGAAGTGGTCCGCCTGCAGGACGGTAGCCAGGCTCAGCGGTTCACGACCCCGGTCAAGGGCAGCGCAAACATGGATGTGTACGAGGGGAGGTACCTCGACAACTGCAAGGTTGCGCTCAAGACGATCCGGTCGTTCCTCACGGGCCCGAAGAGCCTGCAGGTGAATCGTTTCTAGGAATTCTTGCATATCGGTCGTTAAATCGTATGCAATAGCGCTTCCAACGCGAGGTGGGTCTATGGCAAAAGGTTTGGAGCGTCGACAAGGGGAGGCACATACTGCCTGTTTATGGGTATTCGGAAGGACAAGGGCATCCGTCAGTCTCTGCCAGGTCTAGGTCATTCTCGCATCTCACTGGCACCTCCAGATTTGTCGTCAGTCCTTGGCAAGAGAACGGGACAGTCATGGACTATACGAGAAAGTACGACAACCAGGTCGATTTCCGGACCATGGTAAGTGACGGGACGCTCTGTACCTCAGCACCCTGGAACGCATTGATAACAATTTTTCTAACATAGATCAAGGAAATAGCAGAGGGGATCGCTGTTCTTCATGGCATGACACCTCCAGTTGCTCACGGAGACATAAAGGTACGTTATCACTTTTCCATCGTGATATCGAATCGCTCATGAAGCGCTTATTTTAGGGAGTACGTATCAACATACGATCTTGTTCGTATCGAATCTGAACTCCGACAGGATAACATCTTGATCTCCCTCTCCGGACACCCGCTTCTCTCCGATTTCGGCCTAGCGAAGGTCATTGAGGACGTCACCGGCGCGCCAATCACCAGTACGGGCAGCTCCAACAGCGCGAGGTGGGATATTCAGTTTGCTTTGCTCGCTCGATCTCACTCTGAAGGATGATTAGGTGGTTCGCTCCGGAGCTTTTTGAGGGTGATTCGACGCTTAACCTCAGCGCGGACATTTACGCATTCGGAATGACTGTGCTTGAGGTCGGTATCCTCGTTGAATCATGAACACGCGCATTACTGAGACTCGTGATGTCGCCGCGCTTAGATTTTCACCGGCTCGAACCCCTACAGCACCATCAAGCGCGACACGGAGGTGATCATCAAGAAGCACCACGGTATGAAGCCGGTTCGACCTACAGACGACAAGACAGTCAGCCGCGGGTTGGATGATAACCTGTGGGAGCTCCTGCTTTGGTGTTGGGAATCTCCACCTGCGAAACGGCCGACGATCTCGCAAGTGCTCGAGCGCCTCTGAAAGGTACGAGCGGCGACGTTTCATGCGCTCATAACCGTGAAAAAGGTTTCTGCTGCCGCTGCCGACATGGCAGAAGGGAATATAACCCGTTTCAGTGACACATTGACTCGAGCATGCTGTCGTCGTGTTTTGACTGCGTCTAGTATAATACATGTCGGAAGTCGTACACTGCTATGTGATCGTCCAATTAAACGAGTAATGTCCAGCCAGTATGCATAGTTCCGGCGTAGCCGGAATCTGTCTACAACGCCGTCTCCGTCAGGAATGACGTTGCAAGCCGGCGGATGCTGCGGACTCGCGTCGATGTCTGCGCTCTTCATGCCTCCTTCTCTTTCTTCTGATAGAGCTGGTATGTCACGATGGCTCCGGCGACGGAGAACCCGACGATCAGCACGGGGAGTGCGTAGTCCTTCACCCCTTGCTCTGTTCATCCGCGTTTCGTCAGAGACACGAAGGAATCGTGACATTGAAGGAAGGAAGAGAGTACGTACTGATTTGCCTCCAGAGCATGTAACCCTCGATAGCCGTCTCCGGGTTTATGGGCAGCTTCGCGGCGATGGCGGCTGCCTTCTCGCCCATCTCAGCCTCGTCCTGTATCTTCTGCTTCTGCGCGTTGAAGTCGCCCTCGGTGGCGATATTGTTCTTCATGTCGGCGAAGTTCATGATGAGATATTTGGTAGTCGTTGAGATATGTACGAGGGTATGGGGATGCGAATAAAGGTGAGCAGGGTGTCAAGAGCTTTGCTGGTCGCGAGCATGGACAGGTATCAGTTGCAATATATATGCACTCGGAGGTTTTGCTGGGTGTGACGCCAGAGATCTGAAGTCATCATGAGGTCGGTGGTGTTGGCTCGTGGGGTCGTTTATATTTAGTTCCTCCTGGATGCCCAAGAGGCAAGTCAGGAGCCCAGCGTTGAAGCGCCTGGTATGCACCATAAGTGACACCGGTTATCTTAGATGAAGGCTATAGCAAGAGTTGCAGTCTTTCCGCACGACCCGTTCATGGTCGCCGACGGCTTGCCACGAGCAGAGGGAGAGCGAGTTTGGCGCGCTATAACGCGTCGGAGCCGTTGCGCCGCCACAGGCCACCACTCACCACCACCACGTGGATGTGTGCCTGCTCGGCCTTCGCCGCGATGTCTGCTTTGCCTCTCGCCGATGCCAACTTGCCCACCCTTGCGATCTCGGCGACACAACACATGGCTCTGCTCGACTCGTATGTGCAGTATACAAGGATGGCAAACATGGAAGCCGGTTGACTCCACGCATACGGCGGCGGCGAGGCATAATATGCGATACAGGCCGGAGCGGGGTTCGCGTTGCTCAGCAAGATTCCATTATGCAGCGTCGCTGTTCGAGCTAATCTATCATTTAAGAGATAGCAGGTAGGGTTATTGCGCATACCAGAGTGAGTTGTTGCTAGCCTGGATCCAGGGAGGACTCAATACAATCGTGATAGACCGAATCAACCACGCGCAAGATTCCATTCGCGCCGACTTTCGTTGTACTGCCAGTAGCCCCGAGAGATTGAGAGAGTACTCGCACATCCTTGTGAGTCGTTTTGCGAGCTTCACGCTTCTACGACTGTTTCGAGATATGGGACAGGTACAAAGTTCTGAAAGTCAATTCTCAGCTATACGCAAACTTCATCAACGAATCGACGACGCGGACCACTGATGGGCATGAACCTGTATTTGATCGAATGCTGGTTCAGGACGCTCACTCGCAGCTTGCTCGGAGGAGGGTTTTGACATCATGTCTGCGGCGCGTTCTTCTCGACCGTCGGCTGGTTATCGCGAGGTAGCGCACGTCTCGACAACGTTCGTTCTCCAGGTAACTCAGAACTAACACCTTGAGTGTAGCCACCAGTCATCGACCGAGACGCCATCTGTTCACGTCTTGTGATGACTGCACTTAGAGTTTTCCCTTTTCATGTGTTGCCGTTCATGTTGTCACGCAACAACACACGTACAATGCCTGTTTGCATTCGAATGTCGAAGTCCTGTCAGCGTAGATACACAAAATGTACATGCTCCCGTCTAATCTCATTATGTCTGGCACTTGTTGTAGCCTCCTGCGTGCAATCACTGACCAATATGTATCCAAACGATACGCATGGTGCGGTAACTTGTTTCTTTGTCTGCGGTGCTCGCGTGATGACGTGACGCGCCATTTAACCTTGACCTCCACCTCGACCACGTCTTTTACAATGTCCTCGGTGGAGGAGGAATCTACACTCACGATCACAAACACACCAGCTCCATACAACGAGGAGCACGCCGATCTGATCTTGCGTTCATCGGACAACATCGAGTTCAGAGTTTACCGGGGCATTCTCTACATTTTGTCACCCGTTCTGAAGGATCTCATCACGCAAAAACTCGCCGAACACCCAACCTTGGACGATGTTCCGTTGATCAGCGTACCAGAGTCCAGTGTCACCGTGCACGAGCTGCTGAGCTTGATTTATCCTACGGACGAAGACTGGCTGACCGATGCGTGCGACTTCTCCTTCAGTCAGCAATCTCGTACAAAATGGACCACGTTGTAGCTATAATGTGTAAGAAGCTGGTGGTGGATTGGTTGGAGGTGGATCCTGGGTCGGTGTTTGCCGTCAGCTGCTCATGCCAGCTCGAACCGGAGGCAAAGATGGCGGCGGAGCGGTTGCGAGAGCAGGCACGTACCGATTCACATCCTATGTGTTTTGATGCCACCGAGTGGGAGCACGTCTCTCCTCGGTCGTATCTGTGGCTTTTGCATTATTTCCGTGGTGACTTCATGCCCAAGACGTGGACGTCGAAGATGCCATTCTGGCATGGACCAAGGTCGCCGTCAAAACAGAAGCAACCATAACTTGCGGGTGATGGCTCTGTACCCGCAGCTGCAAGTCCTTTTGATGGCAACAGCCCCTGGGACTTCATTATTCTATCTTCCGACAATACCTGCTTTCATGTTTTGAAGATTATCCTGGCCATCACTTCTCTGTTCTTTCGCGATATGTTCTGCGTCGCCCAGCATTCACCTACAGACAAATCTGCAGATTTTATTGTCAAAGTGGATGAAGACAGTTCAGTCCTTGACACCTTCTTGCGCATTTGTTATCCAGGGCCCAATCCCGTCCATCTCCCTCCAACTGAGCTCTACCACCTCATTCACGCGGCCGAAAAGTACCAGGTGCATGCGGTGTCACATTGGGGGTGGGAACGGCTGCTCCAAGCCACTGCCGATGATCCTGTTGGCACATATGCCGTGGCATGTCATCTGGAATGGGTGGCCGACGCACTCTCATGCGCAAAAGCCGCTCTGAAGTTCACTGCGCAGGAGCTGGAAGGGTTTTCGAAGACAACCGGACTTGAACTCGTCTCTGCCCCTTGCATAAGCTGCCTTCTGGCATACCATTGTGACTGTCGCGAACTTCCGGCATGGGGTGCTCTACTGACCTGCCACTGGATGCTCCAGTATACCATTTGGTCTGGATGGTGTCCTTGTATGCCCAAGGCAGCAGGCAACCCACCTGCAATTGACAATGTTGCTGAGAGATGGGTCATGTATTTCAAACGTGCATGTGACATACTGAAGAAGAGGCCAGGAAATGTAGAGACGGCTGTGATGACTGACTGGCCTTGCCCAAGTCCATGCCAAGATCTGGGCCTGCATGACTGGAGTAACCTTTCTTTGTCGGCATTGCTTGCCACAGAGATCCGCAAATGTATTGAGGAGGTAGGCACAGTGGACAGTAGCATTAACACTTCCACTTCACAGCTAACAATCGTTGCAGGTTGAACTGGATATTGCAGCTTAGATTTTGGTTCTGGTACAGCTGGTGTTACATTTACTACAAAGAGTGTTGCATATGTTGACCTTGTGAATAATCCAACTGTCAGAAGTCTCAACTTTCACTTTGGTACATACAATGTGGGACAATCCAGGAATGTGGCTGTACATGTCTAGCCATGCCACCAAACATGCACTGCCACACAGCTAAGGTAGTATCAGGGTACACTCTGGAGACTCCTGGCCTAGTAGCAGATCCCTAGGGACAACAGTGGAGATGATCGCACAAGGCAGGGAACACCTGAGTATATAGGGTAGAAACTATGGGAAGTACACATACCTGTTGCACAAGGCAGGGAACACCTGAGAGAATAAATGTAAGGTGTTCCCTGGTGCGATAGGTGCCATGGAAGGGGGGTGTGGCAGGATATGTGCCCAAAGTTGGGTGGTGCAGCTGTCAGGGCACGGCTCCCACACCCGCCTCATGTCCCATTGTTCCCCGTTCTGCTTCCGCTTCTGTCCCATTTTGTTCGTTTCCCCTAATGCTTCTGCCTCCCTATTTGGTCACTGTCATGGCACGGCTCCAGTACTCGTCTTTCCCTGTTTCCCCGCATTCTCCACACACTCTTTTTACCCTTTCAGGTTTCCTAGGAGCTCCCAGACGCTCCTTCTATTCTTTCGGGCCTCCTAGGAGCTCCATACATCCTTCTATCCTTTTGGGTCTCCTAGGGCCTCCGCGCCTTGCGTGGCCTTCCTAGGCCGTTCCACTGGTCACGTGCTGGGCACCCGAGGAGCCTCCCTCTCTCTCATTGGACCATCCCTCATGTTGCTGATGGATTACTCAGCTACTATATAGTCACCTGTCGCACCAGGGAGCAACTCAGACTTGTTCTCTCAGTTGCTTCCCTGCCTTGTGCGACAGGTATGTGTATTCGTCTAGTATCTTTGTATATATTCTCAGTTGCTTCCCTGCCTTGTGCTACAGCGTCTCCACCGCCGTCCCAGGGGATCCGCGCCGCTCCTAGGAGCTCCAGCGCGTACTCTGACAGTCACGCTCTCCCGCACCCTCCTTTTGGCATCTCCCCTATTTTGTTCTGTCGCTCAGTGCTCCTAGGACCTCCGCACGCTGTCGAGACGGAAGTTTGGTGTGTGGCTGTGTCAAAGAGGCGAGGGGAATTCTTGAGGTGATAGGAGTGTACCACCGATTCTTCAGCTTCTTCTTGCAGCAAACTTCCCTGAGGTCCCGGGCTATCTAAGTCGGGGATTGCTCAGTTGGCCGTCGGTTAATGAACCTGACTTGAATTTGATGGGACAAGCTTTGTGAGCTCGTCGGCGATACCTAAAAAGGTAAGAAGACAGTTAGCCTGTATGGGAGGCTTGAGGGGTCTTGTGTTGATGTGTTGTACAACGCGCCGCGCGTCGAAGTTCCTAGAGAAATAAAGGGAGGGATCAGTTGTTCCTTGGGTGGCAGAGGCGATAGAGCGTGGGAAACGGTTTCGAACAGCCTACGGTGGCTGTGTAGAGTCGATAGGGTCGATAGAGAGTCGATAGGGACGCTGTCCAGGCACTCGAGTCCTGACAGAGAGAGAGTTTAGCAGACGACTGCTGAGTACTTTCGGGGGGGAACTGATTGATTGCTCATTCATGCCGATTCGGCTACATTTTATACTCCTTAGCTAGGCCAGCTTTCTGAGTCATATTAGTAATCTTAGCAGTGCTGAGTCAGCTTCTGACTCAGCCGAGTCATGATTTGTCATGTGCTGACTAAGATTGGGCACCGCTTGGTAATCCCTTTCCTAATATGGTCAAACTTTCCTGGGCCAGTTTAAGGTACATGCTTGGTCTATTCTACTTAGATTCTATACTACTACATAACAGAGAGGCTGCAGAATGAATAAAAAATGGAGGTTTTCGA